GAGGTTCAATGACTAACTACATCAAGGCTGGCTCTAGAAGGATTTAAAATCCATTATTCTAATTAAGGAATTTGTGACGCTTAACATGGAAAAATCCAGTTACATAATCAAAAGAGAGGTTATCCCTTGCAAATTTATAGCTACAAAAGATAGTGAGAAAAATTATCAGAAAGCTTGTATCTATAGATTGAAACGGATAAATTATTTTTTACGACTGAATTGAAGCCACTGTTTTCACTAGATAAAGAGTTAACCAGCAAAGTGGTCCAAATCTGTCTCTAGAAAACAATCCTTGAGATTCCGAGACTAAATGTTTTGCCCTCTCCGCAATTTTAACTCCCGGGAGACTCCTTCTATTTCCAGATTGACAGACATTCAAAATCTGTTCTGTCTCCTAAAATAAAAGGTCATCCACTTCTTAAAAAGCAAATAACTAAACAGGCACACTTTGGGAACACTAGGTTTTATATTCAACTAACTAAAACTATCCCTAGTGTTCAGCCTGCTGCTGCTGCAAAGAAACACTTTTCTTAGTGTTTAAGTTACATCGTGGAAGGTTTAAGTGTTGTACTGCACATCCTTTCACTGTATCATCTAAACTGATTTTTACACTGCACATATAATTTCATAAGTACATCGTAAAGGAATTCTACACTTGAATGAATCTGGGAAGAAATATGATCTTAGCACACACCCCCTTCTTCCAACTCAATATGCTCCAGAGGAAGCACCTCCTAGGCTTTTTTCTCAAGAATTTCTCTCTCCCGCCCCCACCCCACACTTCTAGAGCAGCAATCATTCATTATCCCACTCACAGTCTCTCCATTGAAAGAACCTTCCCAACTAATACTAGACCACCAGGACCCTCCTTTCACAACTCAGATTTCATATGGGATTTCTTTGGTAGGGACGCGGGGCGGTGAAGGTCTGGGACGCCACCATTCCCCCACGCCATTTAGGACTCGGGTCCTGGCGCGCAATCTCCGACCAGCCTCAGGCGCATCCCGGGGAGCTGTGAAGATCTGACACTGCACCCCGTTCCCCCCCCCCTCCCGCCCCTGCCATCCCGACCAGTGCAAAGCAAACTGGGCCCAACCTCTGTGTTCCCATTCAACATACCCTCCTCCTCGCTGTACCCCATTTCTTCCCACGTATTCCTCGATGTAGCCCGGTCCCTTTATCCAACTCTGAGTCCCCTGTAATCCTCTTGCTCCCAACACACACACCCTTCTACGCTCCAACCCCTACCCCTTGAACCCTACTACACCCCAGTCCCTCCCCCTGGACCTCCCAGCAGCTCCAGTCTCCCCGCGTGCCCTAGTGCAAACTGGCGCCCTGTCCCTATACCCACAGGACCCAGGTCCTTCCCCACACGTCACACTTGGACCCCTTCCTCCCGCGACCCGACCTTCCCCACCCCCTCCCTAGGCACTACCCCCTGTACCCTGATACCTCCGGCCCCGCCCCCTTGAGGGTGTCGCACTCACAGCTCCTGCTGCCGCATCCTTAACCGCCGCGGCTGCTATAGCTACAGGGAGCCAAGGCAACCAGCTCTCGCGACACTTTCCTCAGCTACGGCGAGAACAGGCAAGAAAAGCCTCTCGCAAGAAAGTAAATGAGTCAGGCTTGAGACTGCTAAGTATGTCTCGCGATAGTACATACTGTGTAAGATGGCGACTGCACAGCTTTTTAGGGGTGGCTTGGAGAGGTTTGGAAGTGGACGAGGGCGGGGAAGAATCTTGAGCTGCCCGGAAAGCCGGAAAACTATCGTAGGCAGGACAATCTGGGATAGAGGAAGTTAGTATGGCGAAGCCTACACTGGAATTAATATTACGGATGTGGTCTTCTTTTCCCAAGTGCTTCAAAGGCAGTGTCGCCTTTAACTGAAGTTCCGTTTTCTCGGCGTTTTCCTTCTGGATGCAGAGTAGTTAGAGATAGAGCGAGCAAGCCAGAAACTGATTTTCCCATATCATTACCTTCCTTCAGAAAGTTTTCATCCGTCCTTCCCCTACCCTGGTTTGCAAATGGTATTTGGCTTCACAGAAATGTTTACGTTTACCCACAGGTGCCCCACCCCCATCAGTTCGCCGGACCAAAATAGGGGAAAAAAGTAAAAAGAAAAATTATATTTAAGCACTGGTGTTTGGCCTTGAATGCGGAAGAGGACGGCATTGGTGTGTGATTTGAACTTTGTACTTGTTGCTTGCCGCCCTATGGACACATCTTTAGTGACTTTCTCCACACTTAGTTGTATGGCTTTCTCTCGCTGCTCTCAGACAACTGTAAATGCAGACTGATTGAGTAGCATGTGGGATAGAAGGGGAATTTAAAGAACATAGGGGAACAAATAAGGGAATAGAAATAATAAATGGAGAATCCATTTTCTTTTCTCCGAAGCCTCTAAATAGTTCTCATAATCTATCCCAGTGCTGTCCAGTAAAAATGCATGTCGAGCCACATTATGCAATTTAAAATTTCCAGTAGCCACATTCTTAAAAAGTAAAAAATATGAAATTAATTTTGGTAATTTGTTTAACCCTAAGTATTCAAAATATCATTTCAACATGTAATCAATATTTTAAAATTATTAATGAGATATTTTACGTTCTTTTTTTCATACTAAGTCTTCAAAATCCAGTGTTTATATTTACAGAGCATCTCAGTTCAGACTAGGCACATTTCACGAGCTCAATAGCCACATGTGGCTAGTGGCTACAGTTGGACAGTGAAGTTCTAGACCCTAGACTAGGGAATACACTATCTGGGTGACTTTAGGGGCATAGTATTATGGGCATGTGGTTTATGTAAAAGAAACCCTTGAAGTTGCTAACTCAAATGGCTGCAGAGCTTAGGCATGTAACAATAAAAGGTGACCTGGTGTAAAACAATAAGTAGTAGTGGGAACTAGGACGCATGGGTGGAGTACAAGCTCCCATCTACAAGGGAGCTCTCCTGAGCTCCGAAGTTTTAAAACACAGCGATGGCAAACAGAAGATGTCTATGAGCAGTATAGACAACTAGCTCTGCTGCCAATATGTGGCCTCTGTGAACCACGGTATTCAAATATATGAAACATTTTTGAAGGAAGGATGTTTTAACAGAAGAATAGTGTTCAGACAAAGGGACAGCAAAGCTTGAGGATTTGACTGGATTTCTGGCTGGGTCCTGTACAAGTGTGCACCATTGCAACTTCTGATAATTGACTTTCAAGTAGACTTTTCTAGTAGGATGATTTCAAACCAACCTGGGCTCCTTGTAAATTAATAAGCTTCTATCATGATTTTTTGTTGTATTTAAGATTTCAGACAGTTTGAGCTTGGAAAAATTAAGTTTCTAGGTTTTCAGAGCTATTGACTAGCAGACCCTGGACTTTTTTTTACCCCAACTTTAAGGGTAGGTTTTTAGTTGGGAAGGCTCATGGACTTTTAAACAGGAGAATCTGATGAAAGTTATGAACCCTTATCCAGATCCTGTCTGTGTTCTACCTGTATTCCCTCAGCCTAACCCAAAGTTCACTACAGCTTTGGTAGACAGATCCTGTACAAGCCCATAGCCTCCTACTTCAAACATCTGAGTATCTCTTTTCCTACAAGTGCCAGCAGAGTTAACATTTCCAGCAGCAATCTGCAACCAATGAGAGATGGCATTTGGTGGCTAAGTACTCCAGTTCCTCACTCCCTCAGTGGGGCAATTCTGAGGTACGTTCTACTTTAGTGTTTCGCAAAATTTACTAACACATAAGAATCACCTGGAGAGATTAATAAAGCACATTATTGAGTTTGCACTTTTAACCAAGCTCCCAGGAGATAATGATGCTGCCAGTCCATGGACCACTCATTGAATAGCATTTTTCTCAGAATCCCCAATGATATTCAGCCCCACTTGCCCAAAGCGCCTTTACTGGCTTTTTCTCACTCACTGCTTGGATTCTGGGATCACTTCCCAAATTAACTACTTGCATCCATATCTTTGTTTCAAGGTCTGTTTGGGGGGAAATCCAAACTATGACAAGACTCTTCTTAGAAAAATGCACAGAGAAATAGAGTTTTGCGTACAAGTTTAGAGGAAGTATGAATCTCCTGAAATTTATTTAGGTTGTTAACAGAAAGTGACCAGGGGAAATGTCATGTGACTCAAGGTCTGTGAAAATTGATTCAGTCTATGCAGAGTCTAGCACTTAATATAATCATTAACGGGTCATGGAGTTGACTAAATTTAGCCAGCTCTCCTCAGAAATTATTTTCCTACATCCTATTACATTATCTCTTTATTCTTCCTGGTCTGCATCACTCTTACTTTGTGGAACATAGTAGTAAGTCTGGGACTTTAAAGAAACCCATGCTTGAAATCAATAAAAAGAATATTGCTACTCATTCCTATTGGACTCCCATGGTTTCTTTCCAATCACAGTGCTTTCTGGACGCAACTGCAGTGCCCCTGTGACTCTTAGATCTTTCTTGCTGTGTTCACACATAGCCAGGCATACTATAACTGCAGCCAGTTTCTCCCACTTCCTTCCGGATTCCAACATAGCTCCCTAATTCTCTTTCATCCTTTTGGGAATCTGTAACCTTTGACACATACATTCCCAAGCCCAGTCTGGTGTCATCTGGAAACTTTATGGCATGCTCTAGTTCTGTGATAATTGGGTAATCCTGATTATCCCAATTTCTAATCAGTTACATAAACAGACCTAATACCAGGATCACCAACACCCATTTCCTAATCAAAGCACACAATAGCTTCTTAGCTTTGCCCACATGTGGGCCAGCACATGTATTTGTACGTGATTATCTGTCTTATGTACTACTGAATAAATATGTCTTTGTATACACCTATGAATGTGGTTTCATGGGTGTGGGTGTGGGTGTGTAAGCAACCAGAGCTCGGGTCTGGTCTTGAAGTCTGAATAATGAATGTTAAGTATTTTACTTTAATTAGTCTCTGTGCATTGTTAGCCTCAGTTTTTGTCTGCCCTCAAATATCAGAGGAAGAATGAGTTCATTTCCTTGAAGTTTATTGACTGTTACCAGTGGCAAAGCAAATTCCATAAAAGAGCACGTTCTATACAGAGCAAGTGAAAGGGGAGCTCTGAGGAAGGACGCTTGGAGTGGGGACTTGGAGTGAAGGATGGAAAGACAAATCTCTCCCTCCTTTTTCCCTCCATTCCCACAGGATACTGGATTTACAGTGAGGGTATCCTGATCGGCATTCCCTCTCCAAATTGGAACCAGAGAGGGGAAACTTCATGCAAAGTAGAGGAGGAAACACCTCACAGCTCCTCTGTTTCTCCATCCAAGGGGATGCCAATATCCACGTTGTAGTCTACAGGCTCCCCGGAGCTCAGCCAGGGGATAGGGGTTCGATTGAAAGAAGGCCTGTTGGAGAGGTTCTGGTTATAGAGGACCAGGGGTTCACTCAGCAGGGGCCCCAGGTCAAACTTGGGCATCTGGAAAGTCATGCGTTTGGAGGCCTTCTCATATCCACCATAAGGCATTGCTGTCCTGAAAAGGGGACACATTTTAAAAACATTTTTAAATTAATAACTAGAAAAAAAGGAACAGAGTTTTATCAGTGAGATGTCACCCTGATTTGAGGATGGGGAAGTCTGTGAATTCTAGTTCCAGATACAACTAGAGAACTTCTGCACTCCTTATTCTTCTTCTCACTTAGCACTCCAAGGTTTGCTTATTTCCCCAAAGCTAACAATGAAAAAGGAGTCCAGTGGTATTAGATAGAGAGTCTCATGGATAGTTGTGACCCAGACCAGCGTTTCAGAGAAAGTGACTCCAAACACTATAGACCCAAAGGTCTGAGGCCACCTTAAATTACAATGTAGAGACTCCCCTCAAAACCCTTACCCCACCTCCAGTGGATAGTGCATGGCCTGGATGAGAAGAATTAATATTTCCTGGAAAATCCAGGCTCTTTAGGACCAAATGCAAAAGCACTTCTCCAGCACTTCCCTATCCTGCTTTCACACAGATCTCCTATCCACAGTCTAGAGAAGCCCAATTCCAAAAGAATAGATATTTAAGCCTTACTAAAGTAGGGTATTAAGAAATAGAATCATACTAATGGAATCCTAAACTTGAATGAAGAGAGTCTCAAGAGGCTTCAAATGTGTAATATTATTCTCATTTTACAGTCAAGGCAACCAAGGCTTAGAAGTAGTGTGACTTTCCTATGCCCACACAGCTAATAAATGGCCTATGAACTAAAATTCAAATCCTGCCTCCCAGCAAATTTTTTCTTCATCTTACCATACTGTTTCTCTGAACTACAATGAAAAGAGAAAAGGCCTTCAGTTAGGGCCCCCATATTCCTCCCATGCCTCCTCAGCCTCCTTCTGAAACATTTGAACCAAAGTCTCCATCCCAACTAAGGACATGTTGCCACACAGTAGAATGCATCTGGTTCCTTCCCCACCAAGCCTACCTGTTGAAGGACTTATATTGGGGGAGTTCAGCTTTGGCCCCGTAGGCCAGCAGGTCAATGCCCAGTTCCACTTTTTGCTGGGGATCAACCCCCATGGCTCTCTCCCATGGGGAAATATAGGTCTTGAACACAGTGATATGTTTTCCTTCTCCACCTGCCTGGTCTCCTGGCAGCCATGGGAGGGAAAAGTAACACAAATAATAGCAGTTAGTAGCCAGTGGAAATTAGTTTCACACATCTGCTGTAGGGAAGTTGCTGGGGCCAGGGAGCAAAGGTATAACATCCTGGTAATTGTATAAGGTTTGTAGAATAATAACAGGCTGGGGTCAGATCTGTAACTAACACTGAAAAGCCAGAAAGGTGACTGAGAGACAAGGCTTCTGGATGGAACAGACACATCTGTATCCCCCTGGACCCAGAGAGTACATCGAGACATCTCAGAAGCCTCCTCTGTGCCCTACACCTAGTCTAGGCCTCACTTCTGGAGATATTTCTTCTTAGGGACCAGACACATTACTCTTGGGTGAGGATACTTGCCTGTTCCTGTCTCGCCAACCCCTGCTGTGCCAGCAACTCCTCCTCTGCCAGTCTGGCCCCCAGGACCTCCTGTACCTCCAGATTGAGACTCAGGGCCCTGATGGTGCTGCTGGTCAGAGCCATACTGTCCAGCAGAGCCACTTCCTCCTGCCTGGCCTCTGCCACTGCCCTTGCTGTAGGAGAATCCCTGACCAGCTGTGCCCAGCTGTCCCCCCACTGTGGGAAGGAACTTCTGGAAGTGATCCTGAAAAGAAAGGACAAAGTGAGGGGAAGATTAGTAAAGGGTATGGGGAATATACAAAGACACAGGTGAGCATTGAAAGGAGGAGGTGATCAAAGACAGTGGACAACCCGAACACACTGAATCCTCTGAGATTCCTCCCTCCAGTAGGTGGATAGTACATACCCTGAATGAGAGGAATTAAACTCTCCTTAAGGGGTAGGACCCCGTTGGCTCAGTTCCTCCAATGACACCTTAGGAGAGAGGCAACCCATTCTCCATACTCCCCTTTCCCATCCTTACCAGGGCAAAGGGGACCAAGACTTCTGCTCAACTAAAATTTCAGAGGGTGGAGTTGGCTTAGAGAACCCAGACTTGATTTGAAGAACTAGAGAGATCTCCGCCCCTCCCCCTCCTCATCTTGTGTAATAGACAGAAGTCTCTTTTCTCTTTCTCTTCCTCTCCCTCTCTCCTCTTGGTGCCTGTTGGACCAGGACTTCCCGACAGTGAAACTGCAGTGGATGGGGGAAGGGTGGCCAAAAGGGTAACACTGGATTCATCCCCAAAGCCTAAAAATAACATCGCCAACTCCTTCAGGAGGCTCTCCTGGCCACCCCACCATGCACACCCCCATGCTCCACCCAGTGTAACCAGACCCAGGCAGGGAGGAGGACTTTTGGCCTCCTAAAGTTAGAGATGACTGGCTCAGCATTTTTACTGTGCTCCTACATACAGGCCAATGACAGAAACTCCTGCCCCTGGCCCCATATAGACATCTATTTCCACTCTCCCCTGGCTGCCCAGGGAAGGTGGAGGGGAAAGAAAGGAAATGGAGAAGATCCTCACCTACTCCGCTATAACATCTTGTGCCTGGCCCCTCTCCAATCCCTACTTCTCTTTGGAGAAGGATCCTGACTAGGGGAAGTAGGATCTTAAAGGATGGTTTCAGTCCCCATATCTGGGGTCCTTAGACTGAACCTTTAGATAAAAGAATGGCTCAAGAAGGAGATGGCTATAAAAATTCACTTAACTCTTTCTAGAGTTGCCAGATTTAGCAAAGAAAATTACAGGACACCAGTTCAATTTGCATCCCAGATAACCAACAGTACTTCTTTAGTATAAATATTCCCCAACATTGCATGGAACATATTTATATATAAGAGAGTATTCATCATGTATCTGAAGTTCAAATTTAACTGGGTGTCCTGTATTTTTCAAATTTAATTTAATTTTTATGTCCCGGATATTGCATGGGACATACTTTACTAAAAAAGGATTCATGTGTATCTCAACTTTACAATACAGGACTGGGCTTCCTGAGTTTTATCTGGCAACGTTATCTTTAACACAACCATACTGGGAAGGAATTTTCTCCTGAGGTTGTGGTACTCCCCATCCCCCTTCACTAGCTCTCAAATAGTCACTTAGTTTCAAAGGTGAGCTGTTACTTGCCCTTGTGCTATTGGGGCTCAATATATCTGGGGGTTTAATGAGCTTATAAATTGGCAAGGAGAGGAGCTTGGTGATGTTTTGGAGATTCAGGGCCTACCAAGAAGCTGTCCGGAAAGGCACTAGTCTTGAGAATAGTAAAGTTCCGAACTCACCATTGAGCTGTCAGAGAAGACATCAGGGTGGTTTTCATAGATAAATTTCTCCACTCGCATCTGCCGCAATTTGAACATCTTGGAGCCCCGGTTAGTAAGCAGCGACAGCTCCTCCAACATCACATCCCTTGGGACACTGATCTTCTTGCCCAGGTTCAGGCCTGAGCTCTCCTGTCCACCTTTTTGTGAAGTAGGGAGGAAAAGACAAGGGAAAGAGGAAAGTAGGGTTTTTGGGCTTAGAATGCGGACACCATCTACAACTAAGTGTTTGTGTCTCAGCAGAGATCACTGAGGGAAGCAGATGCTGTCTGTGATATCTGATCAAATTCTGTCTAGTTTGTGAGAGATTTTGATTTCCTGCACTTGGAGTTGGAGAGAATGCATGGGAACTGGGGTGCAGAGTAGGAATACTGGGGATACTAGAGCGGAGATGGTGAATGGGGTAAAAAAGGGGCAAGGGGCACAGGGCAAAATGAGTAAAGGAACGTCATAGATGGAGACCACTGGGGAAACTGTAGTGTGGGGGAAAGCCCAAAGGCCAACACTGTGTGGAATTGGCCACCTCTAAATATAGACTCCTGTCTTAACTTCTTTTCCTTCTCTTCCCCTCAGGGAATTCTGGCTGCGAACAGCCTCTAGGTATTGAGAGAGCTCTTCACAGGCATGTACTCCTACCACCCCCGGGAAAAATGCCTGAGCAGTTTTCCATTTTAAGTGCTTACACAGGCTCCCAAGCTCTGGGGAAAGAAGTAAGGAAATTAATCATTTATCGAGACCTTATTCTGTGCCAGTCTCTATCATATAGATTTTCTTCCTCAAACATCCCTCACTGACCTGTGGGGCCTCTCGTCCTGGACCTGCACTGGCAAGATGGCATGGGTGTTATTGTCTCAGATTACAAGGTGAAAAGGGTAGAAGGGTAAGTAGTCAGTGTTGAATCCTTTCTCCCTCTGTCTCTCTCCTCCCCACCCCGGAAATCCTCTTGTCTCTTTATGTCTCTTCACCCTAAGACATATAGAACCTTATGATATTTCTGGGACTCTTGGGCCAGAGATACTCTTAATACGTCCCACACTAGGTAGGTGCAAACATGTCATACCTCCCGTGAGTTCCATGATCAGTTTGCTGGATTTCCTCTTCTTGTTGGGGGCCGGGGTTCCCGAGAGTGGCATTGTGGAGGCAGATTCAGCCTGGATAGGGTGGGAAGGGGGAGTTGGAGGATGGACAGGGACTGGGAAAGCTGAGTGTCTACAGTAAGGCAGTACTTCTTAACCTGGAGTTAAGGGCTTCAGGGAGCAAAATTTCATTAGATTTCCAAAGAAATATATATTCTCCTAAAAGGTGAACACTTACTGCTTCAGGACTTCTCTTCTGGGGAGGCAGGGCAGAAAGCATAGATGCACCCCCTGCCCCTATCTTCTACCAGCCTCTTTTCACCTATTTTACATAGAGCTGCTACAGGGATGAGGAACACAGTGTGTGTTGGGGGGAAGAGTATCAAACAAACAAACAACACAGGCAGGGCAATGCACCCAGGTTTCACCGGCTTGGCATGACTTGAAGTTTTACTTGCATGAGGATCTCAGATTGGGGCTGTCATTCCAAGCTCTGGTCTCTCCTCAGTCTTCCCTAAGCCCAGAGTGGGGTGGGAGGTGGGGAAGAAAAATGTTCTGCCAGGGTTGAGGAGATGCAGCCAAAAACATTCCCCATAGGAAGGAGAGGTTGTTGCTCCTCCACTGGGCCAGCTGGAACATAGCCTGGGAGGTCACAGCAGTGTTTTCCGCTCCCTTTCAGTCACTCCCGCCCCAGACCCCCGAACTGGAGTGGAGAGGCGGTCAGGGGACATTTGAACCTTGATGCATGTCAATTCAGCAATATCATAGCAGTGGGGAATTGAGAGAAGACAGGAACATAATAATCTCACAGTGGAGGGGGACAAGCTGGGAAAAGATACAAACTCCAGCTCCTCCTTATCAGAAGCTAGTACTCAGCAAAATGCTGTCTTCTGCTGAGTCCTATCTCAACAACACATCTGCAATTCTACTGCCTTAATGGGGTCTGCTGAGGCCAGAATCCAGGGACTGCTAAATAGACGCTCCCTGGACCTCTCTCAGCCCCAACCAGGTTCTTTTTTCCATCTAACCTCTCAGACCCCCTTTCCATTCCTCCAGTGCCTCCCCCAACATCTCCATCCCTGCCCCCTCCATCCCCAGCCCTTCTCCTTCCAACTCTCTGTGGCTCCCCTAAACTGGACAGCTGGGAGCTGAGCATAGATGGGGGGGGCAACTCCCCCAGGATCAAGGGTCACTATTGCAGACACAGACACAGCTGTCAGCAGAGTGGGCTCCAGCAGCTCTGGCCAAAGAGCTAGAGACTTACCGGCTGCTCAGGCGGTAGTCAGCCCTCCCTGGGGTCCAGCAGCTTTGGAGGACTGAGCTGCTATGACCGGAGAGCCCGAGCTGGGCAGGTGTGGGGGAAGCACTGGCAGTGGGGGAGGGAGGGTGGTTATTAATAGAGATGATGAGTGCAAGCAGCTCAAATGGCACAGGGGGTACTGAGACCCTGAAACCAAGATCCTGCCCTTGCCCAGAGGCAGGAAGGGGAGAAAAGGCCTTTGGGATTCTCCCACTAAGCTGTCTGAACTAGGGATCAGTCTGCCCAGGGACTCCCCTTCCTTGGCTCCTAGAGTCTGAGATCCAAAGAAGCATTCAGGGAGAAATTGAAAACTGAGAAGAGAGGAAGCAGGCAGCAAGTAGTGGAGAGGAATTCAGAGTGGGAGAGTGAGAACCTAGAGAACAGGTCTGGAGAGCCACTCAGAGCCAATCCTGGCCAGAGCTGGAGGGACACGCAGGTGCATTTTGGATGTGAGAGGACTTAAGGCTCTCTGTTTGGGGAAGGGAAGTCTGTTCACAATGGAGCTGCTCTTTGAAAGTTCCTGGATGGGTTGGTTTTTCCTCTGGGAGGATCAGTTCCTGGCAGAATAAGGGACAAAATGAACCAAATCCAGTGCTTCCTAGGCTGTCAGTGATGATGTGGGGAAGACTTGACCAATTTTTGCCTCTTCACCCCCATTTGCTGTTGAGGTGCTCAGTTCAGCCTGCTCTGCTGGATAGATGTCAGTGTCTTCCTGAAAAGTACATGTAGGCTTCTGCCATGCCAGGGCCTTACTCTCTGAGGTTTCTACTTGGGATTTTCTTCAGAGGGAGCATATACCCCATGGGATCTGGACTGTCCCATTCACACTGTTTCAGAGGAGTCTCTGGGAAGGGGCACAAGCTTGAGAACCCCCATGAAGGAAACCTGTCATTTGCCTACTCCCTTCCTCAGTAGCTGCATGAACATCTTAGATCCTCCTTCACCTTCTGCTCAGGTTCTTTAACCAGTTGCTCCTACAACTCTGCTATAGCCACCACCACACTGTTGTGGCTGCCTTAGGAAGTGGCTTTTGTAGCTCCCAGAATAGCCTTCTGTCCCTCCGTGAGCATTCTACTCTTTCTGACCATGCCCTTTTCCCATCTTTTTTTTCTGAAAGATTGGCACTGAGTTAACATCTGTTGCCATCTTCTTTTTTTAAAAAAATTTATTTACTTTTTCCTTCTCCTCCCCAAAGCTCCTCAGTACATAGTTGTATATTCTAGCTATAGGTCCTTCTGGTTGTGCTACGTGGGATGCTGCCTCAGCGTGGCTTGATGAGCAGTGCCATGTCTGCACCCAGGATCCTAACTGGTGAAACCCTGGGCCACTGAAGGAGAGTGCGCGAACTTAACCAGTTGGTCACGGGGCTGGCCCTGCCTCTTTTCCCATCTTGAACTTTTCAGGTTCAGTCTAGGGGCTGAAAAGTCACCCTACCCACCTCTAGTTGGCCTCTGCCTAGACTTGTTTAATCTCCACATCCCTCATCTTTTGTCCTCCCTCTCCATTCCCTCCTAACCCAAAGAAGCAATTAGAAGAAAAAAACATAAATAACAAAAGGTGATTTCATCATCACTACCATCCTCTTCTCAAAAACAAAGACAAAACAAAATTTTGGTCTCCTATGATGGAGTACCTAGAACTACCAAGTGGATGAACACAGAATATTTAGCCTATGCTCTCTGAGCCCTTCCTTTGGAATTCTGAGAGACTGTGTACTTAGGAGCATGAGTCACGGGCCTGGTTATTGACACAAATATGCCCCCTGCTGGTAAAATTGGGGCAACAGAACTTTCCTTCTCAGAAGTCTAATTCTAGCCCGCCTTCCAGTGCCTTTTCTTCTCTCAATCCACCCTGATGCACTTTCTCTCCTTCTTCCTTCTTCCCTCTCCCATCGCACCTTCACCTCCAGCCATTGATTTCCTTTCATTTAATTCCTAGCGACCAGTTAACATGGTTGCTTTCTTCCTCCAGGGAGCTAGAAAATACTGATGGCAAAAGGCTCAGAGGGCCTTTCTGACTTCTCTTTGTTCTATAAGCTGAGGACTTGCCTGGGAAATATGGAGCAGGTGATGAGAAAGGGGAGAATCTGAACGGAGAATGTGGGAAGAGGGAACCAAAGGGAGTGGTGGAGGTGGTTAAATTGGAGCTGGACAGAATTGGTAGAGAAAAGACCAGGTGGTAAAGGGCAAAAGGATGAAAAATAAGAGGTCAGGAATGGAGAGGGAGATCAGGAATCAGGAGATCAGAGAAATGGGTTAGAGAAGATCAAGATTTGGGTATGAAACTAAAAGAGATGACAGCAACAGAAGGTATGGGTCATAAGTTTATTCTTGTGCACAAACCAAAGTACTGTGACTCACACCCAATATGCCAAAGGAAATTATCAATTTCCAGATCAAGCAGCAAATGTGACTGGTAGAAGTCATGGTGAGAGGGGAGTCCATGCCCCTCCAGGATCAGAGATCAGGACCTGAAGCTGGAAAGGAACAAAAGCTAGAGTTTGAGGTATGGGGTAGGACTGAAAAGAGATTTTGGCTCTGGGTGTTTCCTTGCCCTTTCCCAGGTAGTCATGACAAGCTGCAGAAGACAATGGGACAGGCTCAAAGGAGGCAGCACAGATACAAAATGTTCTTTCAACACTCAGCACACACTCTCACATCCCTCCACCATCATCCCCCTTCACTCTAACAAATACATTCTTCTCCCTCAACTTTTTCCCCAATCCCCCTTTTGTACATGGTTAGTTTCTTGTTACCCAACTTTACTCTCTGCCAACACTGCACTCTCCCTCACTATGCTCCTCTCTGGGGCTCAGTGAATTTCATTCGTTTCTGTTCTGCTCCTAGTTTCTATCTCACTTTCCACACCATGGCTCTTTTCTCCCTCCTTTGTGTCTTAAGTTCATAAGGCAATGAAGTCAATGATTTCTCCATTCTCAGAGGAAGTTTTCTTTCTTTTTTTTCACTTCCTGGATGCTTTGTTGCTCAGCATGGGCCTCTCAAGTTGCTAACTTTCTGAAATCCTGAGGAATAGAATTCTCAGTTCTATTCCTGGTCTAGCTGATATAACTCAGCCTAAACAAACTGCCCTAGCCCTTCAAGTCTTCTCATACTTTATGAGTTTCACAAAATGCTGTACACTTACTACAGATGCTGGTCTTTAACTCTAGTGCATCTCTTTCTTCCACTAGACTCCATGTGAGGATATCTGTCCTTCCTTTCATCAGCAAAAGGGTAAAACCCCAACTGGGTCTTTATTTAGACCTCTCTTCTTACTCATGCCTCAAACAGAAGAGCAAATCTGTGTGTACACACACACACTTGCACATACACACATGCACACATACATGCCTAGGTATATGCCAGCCAAGCTTGGGAAAGAAGAGTGAGGAATAGCAAATGACTAAGTGCAAGAAGAGGTCAATTCAGTCCCTTTGTTGCCTGCCTGGTGGAGAGCTTCTTGCTTGAAGTCTCAGTGGTATCTGCTCTGTGTGCTTCTCATTGAATGTTAAAATGAGGCCCACGGAGAAAAGCTCAAAGTAGAGAAATAGAGACAAGTGGAGGAGTATGGGTGAGAGACCTAGAGATAAAAACAGAGAGCCAGGCAAGGAACACAGAGACAAAGAGAAGCACAGACAGCAACGCAGGGATAGTATGTTGGAAAGCAGCAGGGAGGTTGGGAGTGAGGAGGAAGCTGGTGGATGGGGCACCAACTCCAAAACTATGGAAAAGGGAATTTAACCTCCAGATACCTGAAAGAGGGAGTGGGATGGGTAGGAGAATCAACTTTAGGAACTGGATGTTCCACCTCTCCTTGGTCCTGGGAGCTGTGCCCTGCTCAGTGGTGGCCTGCCCCAGGCCTCCACACATGAGCCTGCAATCCGGTTCTGGTGGCTGAGAACCGAGGCCTGGCTACCTGGAAGCCACAGGAGCTGGAGGAGGCCCCAAGACCCCTGGGAGACTCTGGAGGAGGGGCTGGGCTAAGCACAGGGGTTGAGGCCAGATCTGCCCTCCAGATAGGCTCATCCAATGTAGTGGCTGCTCGGGGAGCAAGCACAGTGGGGGCCAGGAGCTCTGCAGTGGGCTGGGGCGCTGGAGTGGAAAATCGGCGGATCTCCTGGACTCTGGCAGTTTTAGGGGGCCCTGAGGAGGTGGGGCCAGGAGTCTGGGGAATCTCATCAAAACAGAACATGGCAGTTTTAAGTTGATAGGGCTGGTGCCGCATGAAATCCAAAGCCTTGATACCCTGCTTGGGGGTTGCCCGGGGCCCCTGGGATTGGGCCTTATTAGGGAGTGTTCGGGCAGCTTGGGGGAAAAAGGGTGAGAGCAGTGGGTTATAAGCAATAGGAGGTGGGGCACGGATGTTGGGTGAATATTTCCAGGAAGGGGGCAGTGAGGGAGTAGGAGAAGGGCTTCTGGGCCGAGGGCCAGGGCCAGGGCCAAGGCCAGGACTAGGTGTAGCTTCCACCACATACCTGTCCGCTCGGCTCTGCCGCTTAGCAAACAGCTCCCCACCCCTGCCCTGAAGCCTTGGTGGTTCAGGGATTCCAGGCGAAGGGGCCGCCCCATTCACCAGCCCATCAAGGTACCCTCGAGATGGGGGCTTAGGAGCCACTGGGGGTGGAGTCTTGAGCGTCATAGGGGGTGGGGTCTTGGGAGGCATTGGAGGCGGGGTTTTAGGTGTCACAAGAGGCGGCGTCTTGTAACTCCTGCCCCCTGGTGGCTGCATGAAGTTGCAGGCTTCAGCACCGAGGCTCAGAGCATCCTCCTCTGGACCAGATTCAGCACCCCCAGCTCGGGGTTTTTCATCCAGATTCTGCACCAACGATAGTAGCTCGGGGTTGGGCGAGTTCTTCGTCTCCTCATTTCCTGGCCGGAACATCTGCTTCCGGGTCCCCCGACGCCGGGCCTCCTGGAGGATGCCGGTGCGGACAGCTGGCACAGAGATGCGCTGCTCCCGAGCACTGGGGGGCTCAGGGGCCGCGGAGCCTGGGGCGGGCGCCTCTGGGCGCGCAGCGGATCGCAGAGGCGCCGATAGGAAAATAGAAGCGGTGGAGGTCTTGGCAGCTCCGCTAGGGGAAGCGAGGGACTCTGGGG